CCATCCTCCTCAGCCTACTTCTACGGGTTCTTCAATAACAAGCGCATTGTCATCTACGACACCCTGATCAAGTCCCTGGAGCTGCCGGAGGTGGAGGCCGTCATGGCGCACGAGCTGGGCCACTGGTACCACAGCCACAACCTCAAGAACATGGCCATCCAGTACGACAGATGCTTTCTTTTTCTCTTTTTCGCATAAAGCATCCTTCCTTCTGCTGGGCTTTCTTTTGACCTTCTCTCTCTCTCTCTCTCTCTCTCTCCCTGTCCCTCTCCGCCTCATTCATCCGTGATGGTCATCCCGTCGCCGCTCGGTGCCACTCCTCAGGCAAGTGTCCACCTTCTCGATGATGTATGCATTCAGCTTCTTCGTCTTCAACCGATCCCTCTATTCCTCCTTCGGCTTCCATGTGCCGGCGGACCAGGAGCTGCCCTACCTGGTCGGGCTGACGCTCTTCCTCCAGTGCTGGTCGGCTCTGAACCTGGCCATGAAGCTTCTGATGGTGCGCCGTCGGGAGGGGGATTCCTGCGCCGCGCCCCGCTTCGGGCATTGGGCCTCTCCTCGACTGACACCCTCGCTTGCTCCCCTTCTCCTCGCCTGGCCGTTTGGACGCAGAATATGGTGTCACGCTCGTTCGAGTTCCAGGCCGATGCCTTTGCCTGTGGGCTCGGCTATGGCAAGGTCCTGCGTTCGGGCCTGCTCAAGATGCAGCTGGAGAACATGTCCCAAATGCTGCCGGACTCCCTGTACTCCGTACGATCACATCATGGCCGGGGAATGGGCTCTACGGCTCCTTCCTAGGCCGTTGCCTCTTCGCCCTGGGTGTTTGCTTTTTAAATGCCCGTCCCTTGTGCCTCTCCGTGCGCCCGCTGACTCCTTCTTCCCGCCATGACTGGCCTGCCAACTTGCGGCCCTTGCTTTGAACCGTGCAGCTGTACAACTACACCCACCCGCCGATGCTGGAGCGCATCTCGGCCATCGACAAGCTGCTCCAGAAGAAGGATTAAGCATTCGCCCCCCCCCCCCCCCCCTTCGGTTCCTCCCCTCGAAGCCCGGTGCAATGCGCAGGGGCTGCTCGTTTCTCTTGAAGCATGCCATCTTCCCGGGGATGCCTTTGTACTGTGGGATACACATGCACACGAGCGATGTGTCGTGTATATTTTTTTCGATCAGCCCCACCCTTCCGGGGGGAGGAGACGGGGCGGGCGCGGGGACAGGGGGGGCGGGGGACGAGAAGTGGCCAAGGAGGAAGTTGGCCGATTTGGGCGCCTCTGTCCGCCGAAAAGGAGCTGGGGGAGGGGGGGGGGGAGGGGAACAAAATTTCGATGATTGTTTATCTGCCTGGTCGAGGCGCTGCTACCGGAGCCGGCGAAGCGGGAGAGGGAAGATGGTCTTGCCGGGGAGCAACACAGCGAGCAACAAGCAGAGGGGAAGAGTGTGTGGGTGAGGGCTGGTGCCTGGCACTTGGGGACCCGGAACGGGGACAACCCTCATTCTAATGTGCGTGTGCGCTGGGGGCGTCGGTTTCCTTTTTTTTTTTTGCCACGGCGTGGTGGGGGCCTCCAAGCCGGGGAATGTCTCTTCACAGAATGACGCAGGGATCCGGGAAATGGTCAGCGGTGGAGTCATTAGGGGAGCCTACACCACCGAGGGTGCGATCGTCAAGTCGGGGGGGGGGGGGGGGGGGGGGCCTTTGCGACCTGGGGGGGAGAAGGAACAAAAAAGGCCGAGGACAGGAGGGGAGGGAGGGAAGTGGTGGCGGTCGAACGAGGCACGTAGCACGCACTGGTGGTGGTCTTGGCAATGATCTCCATCGTGGCGGCGGACAGAGGGTTCTGTTGGTGTGGGGTGCGGCCAAGGGTGCTCAATGAGGGAACAGGTCCTGGGCGAGGTGTTTCCAAGGGAGGTGTGGCCGTGGTGGTAAGCGCGGCAATGACGGGGGTGACTCGGACGATCGAGGGTGGTGTGTGTGTAGCCTGGCAGAAGTGGAGCTCTGAGGTAGCCACGAGAGCCGGGGGATAGCGGGATATGGGCGATTGCACGAGGGGAATGACTTAACGACGAGAGGGGGGATGAGTGCGCATGCAGAGGCGTGTGCGTTTGGCAAGAGGAGCTGAGGAGGTGGTAGATGCTCTTTCGTGTTTGACCGGGGCCACAGGGCTGGGTCTTTTTATAGGCCACCCCCGGGGGCCGTCAGGCTCGCCTCGTGGCGAGGAGGCACCAGGAGGCAAGTTGTCCCCCAGACGCGATGTCCATCGGGGGGGGGGGGGGGGGGGG